AGACAAAGTCTGATTTTGCCATTGCATAATGTGTGTGCGTGCGTGTGTATTACAATAATAAAACTTATACAAACTAAACTCAGAAAGGAAAATAAAAAGAGTAAAAAGTCCAAAAAAGAAAAAAGGAAGAAAAAATTGAAATAAAGAAAAAGAATAGAAATATGCAAATATGCAATCTTCATCTCAACAAGCATAAACAGGTTTGATGGCTCATCACCCCCTATAAGGTTACAAACAGACATTTCTTCTTCCCATAACTTATCCCTTATCTATAAACAAATACATAAGACATCAACTTTTCAACCCAAGAAGAAGTTCATAAAGAGGTTTTTTTTTTAAAAAAAGTCTTATTTTAATCTTGATCAAACAAGCCAACTTTATATTCTTTCCTTTCACTTCTGAAAGTCTTAATCTTTAGTTCATTCAGATATTGTCATAAGATTTGATCTTTTTGCAGTTGTTTGTCTCATAATATGGGCTTCTTTGAGATTTTAATAAGCCTCTTTTGTAAATCCAATACAAACACATTAGCCATAACTCTTGGTTTATCACTTATGTTCACCTTTTAATTTTGAAAACTTCACTGAGCTCCTTTTGTATATCCAATAATGAGTGCTTATCCATGTCATTTCTTGGTCTGCTACTTGTATTTCCACTTTGAATATCTTCTATAGCAGTGATGGCGAACCTTTTAGAGACCGAGTACCCAAACTGCAACCCAAAATCCACTTATTTATTGCAAAGTGCCAGGGGCACATCAGCATTATGGTGCCTTCAGGGGAGAGCAGGGAGGCGCCTCTGAGTGCCGCCTCTGGCACGCAAAAACCGGGGGTGCAAAAATGGGCCACCGTGCTGCAAGGTGCAAAAATGGCCACCGCCACACTGCGGCATGCAGATACAAGGCGCTGCACCACGCAAGTATGGGGCAGGGCTAGTATCATGCAGGCACTATCGCCGCCCCATTTGCAGCATGTGCATGCTTGCGGCCCCGTGCACGCACGCATGCATGTAAAATGCTTCCCCCTCCCTTTTCTTCCAGTCCGCCAATCAACAATGGTTGGTGACCTCTGCTCTACCATCTCTACTCAAGCTTGCTAGTCAGCTGCTTCGCCTCCTTTATGCTGGGTGGGGCTCCTGCTCCGGGTGGCGGTGCGGCCTGATGGACCTGCTGCTGGCGGTGGCGCACGTGCCAATAGAAAGCGCTCTGAGTGCCGCCTTTGGCACGCGTGTCATAGGTACACCACCACTGTTCTATAGCTTTAAGCCACACTTTTTAATCCACTATTTCTGCATCAAGCAATAATTGTTTTCACACCTGTCATTCCTTCATTAACAGCCTGATATTGTTGATATGATTAGTAATGTATGGCCCCATTCTTCAAAGAGCTACTTTAATATTTCAAAGATTATAAAATTTTGTTGCATTTTGTAGGTCCAAATCCTAATCATAAGCAAAGTGAGTTCTTTTTTCTTTTTGCCTGGAATTTTTAGTTCCTCCAATATCCAATTTAAATAATAAGCTCTCTATTCTCTGTTATGACTTACAGTAGACAAAATAATTCTGGTGTCCCCTCCCCCCCAAAACAATCTGCTTATTCCATACTAAATAGTGCTGGCTGGGGAATTCTTGGAGTTGAAGTCCACACATCTTAAAGTTGCCAAGGATGAGAAACACTGGGTTAGAGCAATTAATACAGGAAATAAAGATACTTCAGTTGTTTCTTTCTCCCTGTTTATTAACTCAAACCAATGTGTTACAACTTATCTGGAAAAAAATGGTTTATGAATGAATGTAGAAATATTGGGATGCTTTCAGGTTTAGAAAATTACCATGCATTTCAAAATTGCTGTTCCTTTACCATCTCCTTGCTTTCCAAATATTTTTAAAGAGAAGCAAATTCATGAAAATCTATCAGTTGATGTCAACCTAAGTAATAAGAACCTTTATGCTAGCAGTTGGTAGGGAACAGCTGTTTGTGCCCTATTTGTGAACATAATAGGAGCATTAAAAGATTATTGTTGGAAATAAGAAATAGGAAACTTTTAACAATGTAGGATTTTAATCTATTTTAGTCTATTTCATTTTCACTTATATAATTTCTTCCTAATCTGAACCTTACATGGACATCCTACAAAGTTGTTGTTGCTACTACCTTATATAAATTTCTATCAATGGGATCAATGATCAAGGACAAGGAGGGTTGTGGTTCAAAGTCATCAGGTTAAGCTTGGGAGGGTTGATTTATTTTCATATGCTAAGTCCACGGTTGTTACAATGACTGCCAAATATTCTTTCCAGCATGCTGTATGCAAATGGATGAAAAAGATAATATTTTATAAACAAGATGGCTACATTGTTCATTGGTTGCTTGATGTCTACAAGTCACAATTCAAATTCAAGGTGATCAGTAAAGAAAATGTTCCATAATGCAGTTTTGTGTGCAGTTTTAGCATTATAGTTCTCACCTTTGTGGAAAATGAAGCTGTTGGCCTGGAACAAATATCCAAAGAGCAGTTGCCACCAAATTTCTTTTTATGTAGTTGTCATAATTTTCTGTTGGGAAATCCCAGAAGTATTTAGTCACAGTAGCAACATAATAGTGTGAAATGTCCATTTTTCTACTTTTCTCATTTTAGTGCCAACTTGAAAATGCTGCCAAGGCACCATAAAAAAAATTAAACACCTTTAATTATTTCATCTGTTCCATTCGATAATTAGCAAATTCCAGAATGTTAGTTGGTGTTAATTGGCAATGTTCCATTGGAAAAAAAAAAGCTTTTACCATACTAATGAAACATTTTCTTCTGGTTTCTGAGAGAGAGAAAAAAATGTTATTCTTTTTTATTTCTTATCCTAACTCCATAACATTTAGAAACCTTTCTTGTGTCTTGTGTTTGTTAAAGTTCACCAAATGAAAATTACGTCATCCTATTAATTCTTCATCTTCAGAATAGTACATTGATACCAGAAAAATATAGGCATATTCTTCCTTCGTAGAAAATAAAGGGAATTTGCATTATATTGTGCAATTTAAGGTAATTTCTAGTGTTAAAAAAAAGATATCAGTTGATTAATTTTAAATTGGAAAAGAACTCTAAACTGGGGTATTTTAGTATATATCAGGATTGTCTTTATATTGTGAATGGATTTGGGAACTGTACATGCAAGTTGGACAGAAATATTTGGGAGTGAATCTCGCTAAAATGGAGCATTTGGTCAACTTAGTCTCAAATTTATTGATGAACCTGATTAGAATTTAGATAGGAGACCATTTGGAACTGTAGACTAGGCTGGGTACTAAAATAATATTTCAAAAGAAGACAATGGCAAACTCATATTGTTGCAAAGAAAAAATTGTGGATGAAATAAAAATGAATAAAATAAACAAAAATGAAATCCAAGGTGAAACTCAGTTTGAAGGAGATTTTGCTTTCCAAACACCCACGATGTTTTAACCACTGAGTATTTATATGTATAATACTGACAATAGGTTTGGATGTGGGGGGGAGGGTGCTTTTGGGGCAGTCTTGTATCCTGGCAACTATCTGGACAAGCCTCTGCAGTTTTAATGGAAAAGGTTTTTTTAAAAGTATGCCATTGCTTCCTCCCCAGGGCTGAGATGGAATGACTGGCCCAAGGTCACCCAGCTTGAGTGGGACTGTAACTCATCATCTCCCAGGGTCTAGTGCACAGATGTCAAACTCGCCACGTCACATGACGTGTTGCGACATATCGGGTCATTTTTTTGCATTGTTGGAGCTGGGGTGGGTGTGGTCTTCGTATGATGCAACTGGCCCGTGGGCCGGCAGTTTGACACCCCTGGTCTAGTGTGATGCCTTCAGCAATACACCAAACTGGCTCTCTTACAAAAGTATATTACATAAATATGCTTACAACTGTGTGAAATCCTTTTAACTTAATTATTTTACTGAAAATAATACTATCTCATTTTCCTGTCTTATAATAAGGCTTGATTTATAAAGAAGGCTAACATATTCACACAGTTTATGCTTACAGTATATAATAGATTAATTGGAAAACCAACTGAAATCACAAATCATAATAAATATTGATTAAACGTTTCTAATCCCCATGCAGTATATGAAAATAGGAGTCTTCAGACAGAGATCATCTGCAGGTCTTGCACCTACGGGGAAAATGCTAGGATGATAATGATGAATGCTCAGGATGAATGAATAGAAAAAAAATATTCTGCTACATTTCAAGATGTGCAGAAAGCTTGTTGAGTATAAGTTAACATCTGAATTATCTTTATTTTTCAAGGATGAAGCTAAGTGATAAATCCTGTGCAGTTTACTGAAACTTATTAGGATTTTTTGTATGGCTCAGAGTATAGTATAACACTAGTACAAGTTCCTCTTTCTTCCTCATTCAAATGTCTTAAAGATTGGTGAAGACATTTATAGAATCTCAAGTTTTTAGTACATTAAAAAAAACAATGAATTTACTTTTCACTTAATATTAATGAGACAAGAATGAGCAACATGGCCAACAGTCCTATGTGTTATCAGTAGGTTCTCTAATTATTTATTTATTCTGTTTATTTAACAGTTACTACAATAGTGTCCCTTTCATAAAGAGTACAATCCATTGCATTTAATGGTTATAGCATTGGAATTAATTGCCATTTTCATCTTCTAAACCTTTATACTGACAGGACTCAGACAATCTCTTTAGTCATGGGGATGGAATTGAGTCAGCAAAAACTTTTTCATTTTGTGTTCAGTAGTTTACCTAGAACTTGGTCAGAGCAATAGTTCCCTAGCAGAACAGGATTTTCCATCTAATTATTTTTTTTAGCATCATGTATGAGATTCTGATTTAAACAGGCTACATGCTTTTTAGAATTTAGATGATTTAAAGCCAAATCATACAGTAGAATCAGATTTTGATTGTGTGGCATCAGCCTGCGAGGCCAATGAAACAACTAAAGGAAAATAATATAGATAATTCTGATGGCTTCTTTTTATTCTTTCAGACATTCCAGATTGCATATGTCATTGTAAAAGCAGCTAATGCACCACGGCCTGGAAACTGGATTTTGGAGCGTTCATTAGATGGTAACAACTATGAACCCTGGCAGTATCATGCTCTCACAGACACAGAATGTCTGACTCGTTACAACATCAGTCCTCGCACTGGGCCTCCTTCTTATGCAAAAGATGATGAAGTTATATGCACTTCGTATTATTCCAAAATCCATCCTCTAGAAAATGGAGAGGTAAGATGATCATTGCTGTTACCAAAGTAGCAATCAGCTGCCCTGTTGAATATGTATATGACCTCATCAATTCATGTATATGCATAAAGTTCATCAGATAAAGCATTTTCAAATATTCTTATAATATGCCTTATGGGATTTGAGAGGAAAAGTTATTTCCCCCCCTTCCAACAATACTTGAGAGATGTTTCAAATAACACAGAACTATGAATAGACACATCTAGATATGGTTAAGAACAGGGAAATTAAGGATCCTTTTGTGATTCTCCAGCATCTTACAGAGATGGTCTCCAAGACCAGCTGCTTCGTAGACATTTTTAGTTTAGATCAAAAGAAAGGGTTTTTGTGCAGTAAATAAAGCTGATTAAATTCAGAAATACATTTATATTGAGTTCCCCAATGTGACATGTAAATTTAAATGTTCCCACTGAGGTATAGAGAGTAAAGAAGATGACCTTGATGAAAATCTGCAAGAATCATTATCTAGGCAAAATGGGCTGAAATATTTTTTTTTAAGTCCAGAATCAAGAATTGACATTTGAGAAACACCTCAAGCAGACATCTCTTTAATTCATGGAAATATAAGTAGGAGAAAGTACAGCACAGTCAAATTGGCATGATTCTGCCATTTTAGTCAATTTCAATAAAAGTATTTAGCCTTCCTGTGGGTCTGATATAGAAATGCCTGAAGAGTTTCAGATTAAAGAGTTTCAGATTGTAACACTAAGATTTACTCAAAATAGCACAGAAAAATGTGAAAAAAAATTCTAAAGATCCCTGAGGGTCAAGTAAGAAAAACAAATTGAATCAGAAAATGTTTTACTGTGTCTGAAATGGTTACATTACCTTATTAATTCGATGTTACAGGAATCTTAATTGGACACTAGTTATATTAAGATCAGTAGCATTTCTGACGTTTGTATGTCAAAGTATGTATGCTTCAAAGTTGGAGGTAACAGAACAGATGGAACATGCATTGAATTCTGAATTGTATCTAGAGAGAAAACCACCTTTGACCTATGCTTTTTAAAAAGACGAATTTAAAAGAAAATATATTCATTCAATAATAATATTGTGGTTGCAGAAAATCTTTAAAAATATAATATTTCTTCTGTTTAATGAAATGTTAAAAATGCTCACTAAAGATCATATTACAGTCTTATAAAAAAAATAATTCTGTTACAATGTAGCTCTGCTGGTTGATTATTCATTTCTTTTTATTAGTCAGTGTTTCTCCAAAGCTACTTTGTTAATTTTCAGCAGTTTTACAAAATATACCTGTAGATCTTCATTCAATGTTATAAATATTTCTTTTCAAATGCATATTCTAGGTCTCTTCATAATTACTTGTGAGTTTATTCCCTATATCAATATAATCATATGCCTACACAATTTCAGTTCTCCCAAACAAATGTTTCAATATGTAATGCAATCTAAAACATTAGAAATGTTGTAGTTGCACAAATTAGTTGTTTTAATTTTTTTTAAATAACTGATTCATTTGGCCAGAGTAATGAGACATTGCATTACAGTTTAAAATTGTGAATTACAACTGTGATGTTTGTCACCATACATCATTCAGATTAATTTATTATTCTTATTGAAAGGTTATACTTTGCCAAATGCATTCCTTCTCTTTCTTTACTTTACAGATCAGGGTATTCTTTCTTGTCATCTCAAATTGTTGGCGTGCACTCTTATATGAGGCACTTCAGTCTAAAGCTTAAATATCTATTACAGTTGTTGTGAGTATTAGAAATCTGTTGATATTTTGCTGTACATGGTGGGGACATGGTATTTTGTTCAAAGTGACAATTTTCTGGTTTCTCTTCACCTCAGCCTCTTTTATGAGTTTTTAAGTGTGCATGACAGTAGACAATCTAGCTGATTTTGCCACCTGTCTGGAGATGATATGCTTTGACTGGGTACCATTATACTCACAAGCAATCCATTAACCTTTGACAGTGATGAGGAAAAGGTGGCTATTAGTATAGAGATAGCAATTTTCTTGCTTCTACTGAGATTCATGAAACAACACGTTCCAGGCCTTATATACAGTTATGTTGGTGCTGAGGGCACAACTGTGAATTGTTCTTCATTTTGACCTCATAATAATCTACTCATGGCTTTTCCCCTTTCAGTTATTCTGCTGATATGGGAGATTCTTCCTCAATGCTTGGGGCTATGTTATTTTGGTTTTTTTTAGTTATGTCCTATTAATATAGCAAAGTTTTTAACCAAAAACGTTACTTTTTTTTCCTTCCCGAAAGAATTATAAGTGACTAATAGGAAAAAGAAAGAAAGTACAGTACAAATTAGATTTGAAGTTAGCAATTTGCAATATCCTTAAATTTATAAGAATGGAAAGACTGAATCATATTTCTTAGCTTTTGTTTTAACCAAGCAATTTCAGTTTGGTGTGGGTTTTAGGTTTGTTACTGGAATTTATGAGAGTCTAATATTAAAAAGTATATGCACTATCAATTCTAAGGAGCCTGCAATTTTTTTTTGTTTTTCTTGCACCTCTTGACTCCTACCAACTGCCTGGACAGTTTTTTTGGCAAGATTTTGGAAGTGGTTTGCCGTTGCCTCCTTCCTAAGACAGAGAGAGAATAACGGGTCTGAGGTCACCCAGATGGCTTTGTGCCTAGGGTGGGACTAGAACTCATGGTCTCCCAGTTTCTGAGCCTGGTGCCTTAACCACCTGACTCTCCTGTTGTTATTACCTCTGTTTTAATAAATGTGCAACAATAGAATTGCCTGAACTGTATAAGTAAACAGGTGCAAATATCTTATTGCCAAACATTCAGTCCTGTGAGTGTATCCTGCCTAGTTGTGGTTTCTGATTATGCAGGAGTACAATCCCCACAATCAGCTGAAGTCTTGTCTATCCATCCAGGTTTATGCTGTGCAAGTAAAAAAATGCTTTTCATATTCAGTATTGAACTGGAAGAAGTAAAGTCTGATACAATGGGGCCAAATTCCTGAATGTGAGGCTAACCCCTATAATCTTGTGTCCCTTATTTGTTTGCTTTATAGAAGCAGGTTATTATCAGAATAGAGCTATAAATAACAAGAGGAATATAGTATATTCTAGCACCAAAGTTCTACATTTTTTTTCCTGCTGGTCACAGATGTGTAAGTGCTCTCAGATTACCTTTTTTGATAGTTTAATAAAAATGACAAATTCTCAAAAGTATTTTAAGTTGGGCTTCATTGTTTCCGATTCTTGTGATTTTCATTAAGCTAAAAAGTAGAAATTAATAAATACCACAGGAATTTTTCCTTCATTTAATTTATACTATTACCATCATTATTTGCATTTAATTTATTTCTTTATAAAAGTCTAATTTTAAACTGAGTTCCTATGGTTTACAGCTAGACTTAATATAAACCCCAAGAAATCACTAATATTTAATTACCACTAGCTCAAGCCAACAAAATGATTATATAAAAAGTATTACAGAGTTTTAACTCTAGGCAAATGTTGGAGAATATGATATTTGTTTCTCTTTGTTTCTCTAAAGCTTTTAGCAACTAAAATGTCTAGAAAATATGTGTTTGTCCTTTCTTTATATATATATGTGATTTACCCAGGAATCACCTTTTATTTTTAGAATACTTAATAATATATATATATATATATATCAGGTTTTGGTATGTCACCCATTCCAAATACTTAATACTTAGAGTAGACTCATTGAAATAAATAGGTAATAAATTAAGTCTTGGGTAATTCATTGATTTCAGTTGGTTTGCTCTTGATATGGCTGTGTCTGAATGTAATCCTATAACAATAAACTGGCAACAGAAACAAACTGCTACCAAAGGCAGTAGTAATAGCCTAACTTTAAGGCCAGCTTTGTAAATATTACAACAGGATGGAAGGCTGAATCAACCTTAAGCTGGTCAGAATCCTGGCAGTGAGCAGTGATTTACCCTGGAATTCTGCATTCTAACCACTGTGCCACCACAGCTCATATTTTAGATAATCTGCATGTATTTTAATAGCAATAGCACTTAGACGTATATATAGCCCCATAGTGCTTTACAGCACTCTCTGGGCAGTCTACAAATGTCAGCATATTGCCCCAAACAGTCTGGGTCCTCATTATACTGACCTTGGAAGGATGGAAGGCTGAGTCAACTTTGAGCTGATCAGGATTGAATTCCTAGCAGTGGACAGAGTTTGCCTGCAGTACTGCATTCTAACCCATAGGTCCCCAACCCCTGGTCCATGGGCTGGTACCAGGGTGTGGCATGCCAGCAACCGGGCCGTACAAACAAAGCCCCATCTGTAGAATGCAGGCAGCACACAAAACCATGCTACCTCCGGTCCGCAGAAAAACCTCTCTCCAAGTAACCGGTCCCTGGTGCCCAAAAGGTTGAGGACCTCTGTTCTAACCACTGCACCACTATGGCTCCTGGTGGTGGGGCATCATGAAGCATCTTTGTATTTATTTTAATCAAAGTCAGTATGATTCTCCCATAAGGACAGAGAGAAAAGAATATCTCCATGGAGGCAGATAGAATATTAATCTAATATTGATTCTTTGTAAAAACAACAGAGCAACAAAAGCGCGGGGGGGGGGCTAGATATAAAACAGGTTCCTGACGGAGCTTGGGCCATATCCGGAGGATCTGGTCCACGACTCGGCGGAAAATCAGGCGGCGGCTTGGGAGACAACTGCCGCCGCAGCATTGGACCGAGTCGTGCCTTTGCGGCCTCTGACCCGACGTAGGTCTCGACTGGCTCCCTGGTTCACCGGGGAGCTGAGAGAGATGAAACGTCGGAAAAGACGCCTAGAGAGCAGTTGGAGGGCCAGCCGAACCGAATCCGATCGAACACAGGTAAGGATACATGTTAGATCCTACCTAGTGGCGATGAGGGTGGCTAGGACTAACTACTATTCCTCACTCATCGCGTCATCAGATAATCGCC